ATTTTTTCTATTGCTAACTATTTTGATTATTTTTTTCTGCATATGTAGTAATAGTTTATAGTTGGTAAGCATGCAGTATGAAAGTCAAATTTTGCCTTCATTTTCATCTGATCAGTTCCTTATAAGAACAGTAAAGTGTGTCTAAGAAATGTTTACATGTATTATGCATAATTATATTTTGTGTTTGCTAGGATCATTATGATTTCGGTATGAGAGCCATAAAGACAGTGTTACTGAGGGCTGGAGAGAAGAAAAAAGAGTTAAAAACAGAGTAAGTAAGACCCTGTTTCCATGCTATATAATTAAAAATTAGATCAGTATTCTGGTACCTTATTAAGCAAAACTCATATCAAATTAAGATGTTGAGACAGAAATCTTTATCAAAGATCTTGACTTATATATTGATATCCCAGCCTAATGGATGTTATCATGTCTCATCACAAGATAGAAGCTGAGGAATTAAGGGAATCTCTTTTATTATCCAAAATAAAATAGTGAGGTAAAATGGTTTTTAAAATGTGTGAAACATTCTCATTATTAAATACCTCAGTAGCCATTCCACTGAAGATCCCAATTCTGAAACCTGTAAGGCCAAGATTAAGCTCATATGTTAAAACATTAAGCTGGCATCATGTGTTGCTTATGAGCAATTACAAAGATGCACTAGAACATTTTCATACTGCATGTTGACATAGAAAGCCTAAGTGAAGATGGATTCCTCTGTGTTTCACATACATGGATCATTAATAGTAAAGTTCCAGTGCAATAGGCTGCTAAACACTCTCAGCACATTAATGAACACTTTGGTAGTTTCTAGGAGTGCACAACACTGATAGTTTTGGCCTAATAATGAGATTTTGATGTGTTGCTTCTAAGGAAAGAAAATGAGATACCCAAAACAGTCGTTATCTGATGTGGTTTACTTTTCTTGTTTGTGAATTATGGTGGGGATACAAAGGGTCACGTTTCTTCATGATATAACTTTATTACAGACAACCGGGTCAACCACAAATACATCTCCCCTGAAGTTCTCATGCCTAGGTGGGAATTTCAATGTGGATACATATTCCTATATAAACCATTTTCCAGAGATACACAAAGCTCTTTGATCAAAGGCAGTATTTTTTATCCAAGAGCTCTGTGTATCTTTTTTTCCCCAAACCAACACAGCTATAAAATTGATCCCTGAAACCATTTCCCATACATCTTCTACTATAAATTAAATTGTACGTAAGTATTTTTCCAGAAATGTTCTAGTCTTCCCTCCCTGCTTAAACTACTGCTTTAATTCCTTTGCTTAAACTTTCCAATATTCTCCCACTCCCAACTGCTAATTTCTCAGCTAGTTCAAAACTCTCAGTTATATACCCCCTCTCTCAGCTGCTACTCTTTCTGACTCAAACTTTCAACATCCTGTGCTCCCAACTGCTCTCTTCTATTCCTGTTCAAATCTCTGTTACCACCTCCATGACAGAATGCTCCACCACTCCCTTCTATCTCCATTACTGAAGTTCCCTAAATTTCTGTCATTTAAGTACAGTGACCCAATTGGGTTTGGCTGGCTATATAAGTCTAGCATTTTTAACGTAGTTTCACTAGTAGTAACTATCTATATATGTAAATGTGTTATTATCAAATGTTAAACTTATGAATCATTGTTTATACATTTTGTTTCTATATTACAGATTGTCAGCTTTATGGCAAATAAAACACATATGGAGTTAGAACTGAGTCATTGTTCCAAACAGATGAAATTGGAACAGAAAATGAATAGTTTTATGAATCTGCTATTTGAGTAAAAATACCCATTTTGATATTGCTCCTAAAATGTCCCTTTTTAGCAGATGCATGCCTAGTAATAGTTGGCAGTGTAGATTTCATTGAGCCCCACATTCCATAGGCCTTTATGAATGTTCGTCCCACTTATAGTTCCTTAATTACATTCTCTCTGCTAACTGATGTGATCACAGAACCAATCCTCTTCTTTTTTCAGTGGTAGTATAATAAGTATCAGGGTTATGGTCAAAGGTGGGCATGGAGTGTCCATAGCGTACTGAAGTGCATAGAAAAAAAGGCAGAGTTCCTAACCAGAATCCACTGATGCTCTCTTTTGTAGCTATCCTCTCTTACAGATGCCTGTCCTCTCAAACTACATGGGGTGTGGGGTGCCATGTTTCCCCCACTTCTGCTGTTTTCAACTTCTCCTTTCCACGTTTGAGCAGCATTGCATCCAACTCTCCACTGTGTTGCTGTCATTTATCACCTACCCAGCTCCTCTTCATTCACCTTCCTTACTGAATCTTGACTGTCTCGTATCACAGTCTTCCATGCTCCTCTAACAGCATTACAATTTCCATGTTGATTATTTACGTAACTCCTTAATTGTATATATCCTTTTCTCCTCCCCTCTTCCATTGCTGTTTCATGACCATCAAAAGCAAAAAGGGACTTGAAAAATCAGTGAATCAAATTACTCTTCATCGCTGTAAATTATATTTCCCTGCATAGTGATTCATTAATCTGTGCCTACACCTACATGTGTATCCAGTTTCTTGTTTGCAATGTCATGTTTACCATTAGCAGCAGCCCTTCCTTTAGAAGCGCATCTTGCAAGCGGCCCTCAATACATTTTCAGTTGTGCATCCCTGCACTATACAGATCCAATAAGCCAATGAGACATGCTCTATACAAGAAACCAAAGATCAAGTACTTACCAACCCAGCTCTCACCCTGATACAGCAATCTCCTTCTTTCCTTTCTTTGAAGAGGTAACTGGGTATGAGTGGGAATTTCCTGACATGGGAAAGAACAAGAATAGACACAAACTCATATTTTATAACTATAAGAAACAAAAGATGTCATAGAGACACCAAAGGCAAGTGTCACTGTGGTACAATTAGGAAAGAACATGAGAATTCCATTAAAAGGGGATTTTTCCCCAAGGATACATCCTTCTGAAGTATTTTTCAGTTTCTCAGGAGCAATTAGGAAAATACAATCATAAGAAAATAGAGCTGGAAGGGACCTCACAAGGTCATCTTGTCCAACCCCCTGCTTAAGGCAGGAACATTCCTAACAAAAAACGTCTCAGCCAAGTGTCTGTCTAACCTGCTCTTGAAAATTTCCAAGGATGGAGATTCCACAATTTCTCTGGATGATGTTTCAGTGCTTAACCACCCTCATAGTCAGAAAGTTCCTCCTATTCTCCAACCTAAATATCCTCTGCTGCAACTTGAGTTCATTGCTCCTAGTCCTGTCCCCTGTGGCCACAGAAGCCACAGAGAAAAGCCTATCTTTGTCTTTTCTGTAATTGCCCTTCAGTCTTCTCTTCTCCAGACCAAATAATCCCAGTTCTTTCAGCTTTCGCTTAAAAGTCTTAATTCCCAAGTCTTTAATAATTTTTGTTGCTCTGCACTGGATTCTCTCCTATCTGTCCACATCTTTTTTGAAGTCTGGGGCCCAAAACTGTTTAAACAGGGACTGTGGATTCTTATCTCATTAGCTGTATTAGTTTGTGACCCACTTTATTGCTATGGGTCTGCTGATCATGTGCGTTTCTCTACTAACACTGCTACCTCCCCTCAGTCTCTCTTTTTCCCTCCTCCCTTGTCTTTGTATTCTAATTTCTCACTCCTTTTTATAGTCTGCTTTCTGCACATCCTTTCACAGCATATGAAGAAGTGAACTTGGGTTTGTGAAAGCTTATGCTCTCTATATATCTTATGTAGTTAGTTTATAAAGGTGCATATCTGCCCTGTCTTCTGACTGGTGTCAAACTAGCACAGCCAGCTACCTCTCTGCCCAAAACTGGATACTGTACTCAAGATGAGGCCTCACTGGTGTTGAATAGAGTGGAGGAATCTCTTCCCTTGTTTTGCAAGTAGCACTCCAGTATGCTGTTGGCTTTTTTTGAAACAAGCATCCTGTTGGCTCATATTCAGTTTATGTTCTAGTGTAACCCCCAGACCCTTTTCTGTAGTGCAGCAGCCTAGCCAGTCATTTGTGTAGGTGGCGGAAGGCTGGGGCTAATGGGGTTTAGCGCCCCCCCCACCCCCACAAAAGCAGGGCAGCCGTGGCAGTGCAGAGGACCACAGTGCAGCCTGGGCACAGGCTCTGGGCAGCTGCAACAGGGGAGAAGGGTGTGCACAGACACAGACATGCAGTCACAGCCTGCAGCCAGGAATGCAGCCTGGCAGCGTGTGGAACAGCACCTAATAGGTAAGTCTGTGAAGGGAAGGGAAAGGGGGGACAGATAGAGGCACCCAAGGCGAGGGAGAAGGGGGCAGAGGCAAGGGCTGGGGTGAATGGGGCTTTGGGGTGAGTTGTGGGAAGGTCAAAGCCCTGGGCAGCTCGTCCAGAGGCATGGGGGGCTCCTGCTGCTGCACACACCGCGGGGGAGGCATGGGGGGCATGTGCCCCCTGGATTTGTGCGTGCGGTGGAGCAGAGGTAGGCTGCCGGTGTGGGCTGGGGCTCTGCATCCTGCTGTCATTGCCCTGTGAGCCATGCAACACCACGTGCCTCCCATCTTTGGACAGGTAGGGGAGGTGGCCCAGCCAGTGCATGGCTCCTGGGGCAATGGCAGCAGAGTGCAGAGCCCAGCCCACAGCAGCAGCCTGCCTCCACTCTGCCCTGTGCACAAATCCAGGGGGGCATATGCCC